CGTTATCGGAGGTCAAGTCGAGTTGGATCGTGCGTTTCCCGCGCGAGGTGTCCCCGTCAATCGACGGCAGACTCGGCAGCTGCGGCGCCGTCACCCAGAGCACGTCGGCGCCGTGCGATGCGAGCGTCCGGCCAGCGATCGGCCCCGCGAGCACACGCGTCAAGCAGAGCACGCGCACCCCCGAGAGGCAATTCGTCGTCGTTTTTAACGTATCCCAGACAGCGCGGGGCTTGCTAGAAGTGTGTTGTTGAACGCGCCATGGCACATGGCCATTGGCCGCGTACGTGGCGTCGAGGTGCGAAGCCATGGGATGGTTCTGCCACGCGTCCGACGCCCGAAACGCCGCGGCGCACAGCCCGTGCTCCGTCGCGAGCGTCTCGAAAGGCTCTGCTTTCCAGGCCGTGAGCGCCACCTTAACCTCCTCGCGGGTCGCGTCCAGCGGCAAGCTTAAAAGGCCCAAGAGACCGTTGCGGTGGTGCGGAAAGTTAGCATGCAGCCGCACATAGCCGTCCCTCGTGGCGTAGAGGCCCGAGAGCGGGTCCCACACACCGGGCGCTGGGCGCGTCACGTCGGGCGTGTACAAGGCATGGGAGAGGAACTCGGCGCATGCATCCCGCGCGTCGACAATGACGCTTGTATTGTTCCTTGCGCCGGTGCGCAGACGGTATATCTCGGCGGCTGCGAGCGCCGCGAGACCGATCGAGATGGACGCGGCGCTCGAGAGGCGAAAGGCGCTCGCAAAGCGGGGTGGGCCCGAGAGGTGCAGCCGTGCGAGCGCGTCGGGTGGAAGGCCCGCGGCCAGCCACAAGCGTCGTGCTTCCTTCGTGTCCATCTCTGCGACCGATGAGAAATGCGATGCAATAGAATGCAGGATCCGAGAGGATCGACGCCGAAAACGGTTGGCTTCGTCGCCACACACACTGGTATTCTCTGAGAATTCGAACGCGCCTCGCAGAAAGGCGCAATGACGTGGCAGCCATGTTGCGCTGCGTGACGTTGGATGCGTGAGGTAGGACGCCGTCAAGTGCGCGAGCAAGCTGCCTCCATGCACCCCACCGTTGGCGCGGCCGAGATGACGGCATCGCCTCTTGCTTGCAGTTCAGTGACGAGGAGGGTGCTACAGCCTACGCCTATAGACACATCGCGCCTGCTACCCCAAGCTGAGCTCCCGAGCTGCTGCTCGGGCGGAAGCGGCCGTTGCGCGCCGTGCACCACGTTGCAGGATGATCCGTGCAAGATACCTGGCACCGGTATCTTGCACAGGTCACCTGGTACAATGGGACTGGGTTCATTGACAAGGCTAGTTGAACGCAACTTTACGCCGCCGCGCGGGCACTCCGTGCAGAAATACGCCGAGCGCAACCGTGTTTACCATGGTATCCCCTTTTTTATGCACGATAGTAGCGGCCATGCGTGGTGGTTGCCGGGCGGCCGTCAGCGGTATCCCGGAAGCGGCCATACTTCAGCGTCGGCCAGTTGCGTGTGTGGAGCCAATAGATGTATCTCGATGTTTGTATGTGTTGTATTTGGTCCAATCAGCATCAAGGAGGGTTTTCACTGGCGCTTACAATGCCGGGTGGTGATTGGGCGAGACGGGTGGTGACTAGGGCTGTGAGATTGGTGGTTGGTTGGCGGAGAGGGTTGGCGGGCTCGCATGGCATCTCGGTTCCAATCGCAACTTAACATCGCAATAGTAAGATGCCTTCGTACAGCCAAGAACCGGAAGACCAGTCGCGCTCGGCCAAGAGCCGTGGCAGCCACCTCCGCGTGCACTTCAAGCACTGCCGTGAAGTGTGCCACACGATCAAGGGCCTCCCGGTCGGTAAGGCCAAGAAGTTCCTCGAAGCCGTCTTGGAGAAGAAGGCCGCCGTGCCCTTCACCAAGTTCACGGGCGGTGTCGGCCGCCACGCCCAGGGCAAGACCCTGAACGCGCCGGGTGACAAGTGCCGCTGGCCCCAGAAGGCGACCAAGATCATCCTCGACTTGGTCAAGAACGCCGAGGCCAACGCCGAGCTCAAGGGCCTCGACACGGACAAGCTTTACATTGCCCACACGCAGGCCAACGCCGCGATCAAGCAGCGCCGCCGCACGTACCGTGCCCACGGTCGCATTGGCCCGTACATGTCGAACCCTGCCCACATCGAGCTCATCTTGACGGAGAAGAAGGAGAACGTCGCCAAGGCTGAGGATGCCGCGCCTGCCAAGATCTCGCGCAAGCGCAACGCCCAGCTCCGCCTCAAGTCGGGCGGCGGCGTCGCCAACTAAATCTCAAGGCTCTGTGCTGCGGCTGAGTGTGTCAGGAGGCCGGTAACCTTCTAATAAACTTGCGATGACAAAACACGAGGCCCACCGAAATGTACCTATTTGCCCTCGTGTTCTCTTCGCGGTCTTGCGTTGCCTCGACACTTTCGACCGCGAGAGAAGCTCACGGCGCCACCCTCTGCCTGTCGACTTGCCCGAATTGGCCCACCGCTGCCACACCCAAAGAGAAACGTCAACTTGTCTGTGTTCTGCAAGCACATGTGTACAGGATGTCATTATCAACATTGCAGTGCGTGCATCTTGCCGACCATTGTGGACCGAGGCGATGCGCCCGTCGACGTCGAGCGCACGAGGTCACCTTGTACCCGTCGGTAGCTGTCGACCATGCGTGGGTCTCTCACGCCTCGTCCGCTCCAAGGAGACGAGCGATGCTAGACGCGGTGCCTCTGCTTACCGCGGACAGGGTCAAGCCATAGTATCGTGGCGTGAGCACTGCCAGCGTGCATACATATTTTGTAGAGCAGCAGACAATAAGACAATCATCGAGGCTATGCTATATGTAGTACTATTAGTCGTTGATGTACTTATCAAGTGTGTTATCGCTGCGCGGCGGCGGTTGTCTCGGACGGCGCGATGAGCTCAATGAGCGGGCGCACGGTGCACTTCTCGCAGCCTGTCTCCGTGAGCACGCGCTTGAGGTCATGGAGCCAGAGTTGAAAGTCCGCCTCGGCGGTAAAGCCAAGCGTCCACGACTGCAGCGTCGCCGCATCCTGCAACAGAAGCCTCCACGCCGGCGAGTCGTGCGGCGTGTGCATGGGGATCACGGCGCTCACGTCTCGGAGCGCCATGACCTTGGCGCCGTTCCAAATGCAGTGGTTGGGCTGGTCCAGCGTCACGATCGCGCGGCGAAACCCGCGGACCATCGAGAAGACGCTTACAAACTCCTCCGAGAGCACGTCCGGCGTCGTCGCCGACGAGCGAAGAAACCAGCGCGCTGGAAGCCACTCGTAGAGCCGCGACGCGAGCGACGTCACTTGGGTCGTTGCGCCAAGACCGTGCTCGAGCACGTGGAGCTCGTCAAAGTGCAGCATCTTCGACACTGATATGGGATGCTCGCCATGACCGAAAAGATATTACAAGTTATTTTTACCATCATAATATACACCCAGCGCAACGCCCAATCACGCGGCCGGAGACACCAACAACGGACGGTCCTGCTACGCCAACGCTCAACGGGCGGCTACCACGTGGCGGCGTGGTTATGCATGGACGCTAGTACGTGAGATTGCACTTGTAGCCACGCGTCCGGCGGAACTCGATGTTCGTTCTAGTCGATATCGTAGTCGATATCGTAGTCGATTTCGTAGTCGTCATCGTAGTAGAGAGCTAGTAGCAGCGAAGGAATAGGTTGTTGGAGAGGTGCGCGTGACGATCGGCGCGAATGCTGGCGGCCATTGAAGATCCGCCGCGCGAAGGATGCGGATTGGTTCAGAATGTTGGATATTTGGCCAATCAAAGCGCGTGCAATCTTGGCGTGGCCATGTTGGAGGGAACTTTAGGTTTCAGGATGAAGCAGCAATCGCTCCTCAGCTTCTTCTCGCCGCCGGCCAAGAAGCCGCCGGCCGACGGGGACGCCAAGGGAGGAACGCCTTCGACGCCAGCGAAGAAGCCGCCGGCGACGACCACATCCTCGGCCGCCAAGGCCAAGTCGACGCCAGCCAAGTCACCTGTGGCCAAGATGGCGCCGGCCAAGTCGACGCCAGCCAAGGCAACGCCGGCGAAATCAACGCCAGCCAAGACAACACTGACCAAGGCGGAAGCGAGCACGCCACGGGTCGAGCTCACGCCACGAGCCAAGCCGCGGAAATCGTACAAGGACGTCCTTGGCTCGAGTTCGGAAGGCGAGTCGGACGACGACGAGCCGCTCACCAAGAAACGCAAGCGCCTCACCAAGCCGCAGTCCAAGGCGATTGCGATCTCGGACGACGACGAGGAAGAGTGGAACGAGCCGCAAAAGGACGTGGTCATGATCGAGAGCGACGACGGTAGCGTCAGTCTTGCGAGCGAGAGCGAAGAAGACGAGAAACCCGTCAAGAAGGCCAAGTCAAAGACACCTATGACCAAGAAGGCGCCTCTGAAAGCGGCCAAAGCACCGACCAAGGCGTCGACGGCGACGCCGCCAGCTGGCAGCGGTGGCACGCTCCGGCAGCACGACGCGTGGCCATGGCTCCACGCCGAGCGCATGGACATGAAGAAGCGCAAGCCGTCCGACCCCGAGTACGACGCCCGAACCATCTACGTGCCCGACGCGTTCTTGAGCAAGGAGACGCCGGCCATGCAGCAGTGGTGGGCGGTCAAGCGTGAGAATATGGACACGGTCCTCTTCTTCAAGGTCGGCAAGTTCTACGAGCTCTTCCATATGGACGCCGACATTGGGTTCAAGGAGCTCCAGCTCAACTACATGAAGGGCGAGAAGGCGCACTCGGGCTTTCCCGAGAAGGCGTACGCCAAGTACTCGTCGCAGCTTGTCGCGCGCGGGTACCGCGTCGCGCGCGTCGAGCAGACCGAGACGCCCGAGATGCTCAAAGCGCGCGGCACCAAGTCCAAGGTCGTGCGCCGCGAGATCTGCTCGCTCTTGTCGCCTGGCACCAACACGATCAGCTTTCTCGATGGGTCGACGCCACTGCTTCGGACCGGCGTCGCCTCGTACTTGCTCGCGCTCAAGGAAGACGAGACGTCGTACGGCCTTTGCCTCGTCGACTGCACGACCGGCGCGTTTCTCCTGGGGCAGTTTGAGGATACACTGCAGCGCGACCGGCTGCGCACGGTGCTGGCCCAATTCCACATTGCAGAGATCGTCCACGAGCGCCACGGGCTCTCGAAAGAAACCAAAGCCGTGCTCAACCACGGCCTCGCGACCTCGACGTGCATCCGCACCGAGCTCAAAGCCGGCGCAGAGATGTGGGATGCGACCCGCACCTTGCGCGAGCTCCAATCGGCGGCGTATTTTGCGGCCGAGGCCTGGCCACACGTGCTTTCGGCCTGCGTCGACTCGGACGGGACGGTCAAGGCGGAGAAGGCGCTGGCGCTCGGTGCGCTCGGCGGGTGCGTCTGGAACCTCCGCCGGAGCTTGATCGACCACGAGCTTCTCTCGCTCGGGCAGTTTGCGACGTATACGCCGCCGGACGCCTCGGGCGCCCTCACGCAGCGCTACGTGGTGCTGGACGGACACACGATCTCGAACCTCGAGCTCTTGCGCAACAACTACAACGGGACGCGCCAAGGGTCGCTGCTCGAGCAACTCGACAAGACGATCACGGGCTTTGGGAAGCGGCGGTTTGAAGAGTGGCTCCTCAAGCCGCTCTGCCACGTCGACGAGATCCATGCGCGGTTGGACGCAGTTGCCGACCTCATTGCGCTCCACCACAGCGTCGTGCTGGAAGTCCGGAGCATTCTCAAGAGCCTTCCAGACCTCGAGCGCCTCTTGTCCCGGATCCATGCGCTGGGGTCGGCGCACCGCGCGCAGACGCACCCGGACGGCCGTGCCATCATGTACGAGCTCGCGTCCTACAACGTGCGCAAGATCAAGGACTTTGTCGCGGCGCTCAATGGCTTCAAAGCGGCGATCCGTATCGTCGATCTGCTCCGCGATGCGGTGACGGCACCGGTCCTTACCGCGTGGGTCAGCTCGTACCCGGATGTCTCGGAGGTCCTGTCGTTCTTCGATGCAGCGTTTGACCACCGCCAGGCGCTGCAATCCGGAACGATCCAGCCGCAGGCCGGTGTCGACGCCGACTACGACGACGCGGCCAACGAGGTCGCGAATGTACTTGACGAGCTCGACGCGTATCTGCAGTCGCAGCGGTCGGCGCTGAAATGCAAGTCGATCGTGTACTGGGGCACGAAACGCGAAGACCGCTTCCAGCTCGAAGTGCCCGAGTCGGCGATCGGGTCGCATCAACCCAAGGCGTACGAGCTCAAGAGCAAGAAGAAGGGCTTCAAACGCTTCCACACGCCCGAGATCCGCGACTTGCTGCGGCGCCTCATGGCCGCGGAAGACCGCAAGGAAGACGCGCTGAAAGACCAGACGCGCAAGATGTTTGCGACCTTTGACGCGCAGTACGCTCAGTGGCTCGCGGCCGTCCACGCGCTGGCGACGCTCGACTGCCTCGTTAGCCTCGCGCTTATTTCGGGTCAGAGCGACGGGTACGTCCGGCCCACCTTTGTCGACGCCGACGACGACACTGGACCCTTTCTCGAGATTGTCGAGGGCAAGCACCCGAGCATCGCCGCGTCCGTGCCGGATTTCATTCCAAACGACACGCATTTGCGCGGATCGACGCCGATGCTACTGCTGAGCGGACCCAACATGGGCGGCAAGTCGACGCTCCTCCGGCAAAACTGCATCCTCGTGCTCATGGCGCAAATGGGCTGCTACGTGCCTGCGACGTCGTGCACGCTGACGCCGGTGGACCGTATCTTTACCCGCCTCGGCGCCTCCGACCGTATTCTCGCGGGTCAGAGTACACTCTTTGTTGAGCTCGCCGAGACAGCGACGATCCTCCGGCATGCGTCGCGCCACTCGCTCGTGATTCTCGACGAGCTCGGCCGCGGCACGTCGACGTTTGACGGGACAGCCATCGCGTATGCCGTCGTCGAGCATCTCTTGCACGGGATTGGGTACGACCGGTTTGAATTGTATCAATGTATCAAGCAACGTGCCTAGGTGCCGCACGATGTTTGCGACGCATTACCACTCGCTGGTCGAAGAGTACATTGAGAACGACCGCGTCGGCCTCGGCCACATGGACTGTATGGTCGACCCGACCAACGACGCCAAGGTCGTCTTCCTCTACAAGCTCGCAGACGGCATTTGCCCCAAGAGCTACGGCCTCAACGTCGCGACGCTCGCCGAGCTTCCGGAGAGTGTCATCCAGCTCGCAGGCGCCAAGTCGGCCGAGTTTGAAGACGCGCTCAAGAATACGTTTGCGTGCTCGGAGCTGCAGTCGGCCGTGCGCAACGCCGCGGCGGCAGGCGACGGTGCCGCCCTCCGCGCGCTCTGGACGAGTCTTGCCTAGTTGGTTCTCTGCATGTATTCTTTGTTTATATACACGAACCATTGTTATTTCTCGTGCCTTTTCCCGACATACCACCGCCATGAGGAGGGCCGATCGGAGTGGAAAAAGCAGCGTCGATGCTCATGGAGGGCAGGGTGACTTGGAGAATATATGGTCGCAGCACTCTGCGTGGTCCTGGCGTCGTTCCCACTCAAGTCGGTCTCAGAAAGAACCGCTCGCTACAATTGCATTTTGCGCGTGCGGCGTCATGACGGACCTGACGTCGGATCGGACTTCATCCAGAGCTGACTCGTTGTGTACCCTTGGAGGCATCGCCAATCACCATGCGGATGGAGGCCGAGGCCGCGAGCTGCCCACAAGATGTACGAGACGACGCTCGACGAGCATGCAAACGCGCAGGGAAAGGGACGACAGCGGGCGACCAGGCCAAGACGGTCTTCACTCGAGTCGCGGTCCCGACCACACAAGAGCGAGCGCGCTGTATTACATATGGATGCCGGCGCAAAGCTTCATATCCAGCAGTGCGACGATGCGAGGTTGGACGGTGCTGCCGCGTTTGTTTGCTACGGACCTTGCGGCCTGTTGGCGTTGCATTCTTGAGTCCACTTTAGGTTGCCGAGCACGTGACGAGGGTGTCCTATACGCAGTTTGATGTGTCGAGTCTCCACAGACGAAAAGGGAGTCGTGGATGACGATGCAGTCGACACAGTCGGTCAGAATTGGTTTCGACCAGAGTTGGTAGCCCTAGCCCTCTTGAAGCGACACATACACAATCTGGAGCCTTGCATCGCAATTCGAAACAGCGTATAGAAGACCACGAGGATGCGTTATTGAGAATCAAGTTACTCGTTCTTTTCAAACATGAGAAGCCCTTCTTCGTAAAGGGCTTTGACGAGCCCGATCTGGTCGGCCGGGTCTTCATGCGGCAGGTCGCCGACGCGGAAGAACGCCGGATAGCTCTCAAAGATGTACTCGATGCTCTCGGCGTCGTCAATCTCAAACTCAAGCGGCGACAGCGGGTTCTCGTGGTGCTTGCGCGAGTTCTCCTTGCAGTGGTACACGACGGCCTTCCCGTCCTCGATCGCCAGGCGCGCAATGCCGTACCGCAGCAGCTTGAAGCGCGCGTTGACGTTGATCTTTGGCCGCGGACTGCCCTCGACCGTGCAGTCTTCCTCCTCGTCTTCGAGCTACACGCATTGTTTAGTGTCGTGACGCGCCCACGTCATCATCGTCATCATTATTACCATGGGCGGGAGACGGTCGACGAGAAAGTTGCGCGCCATTTGGTCGCACGCCGCGTCCGCAATGTCCATGGCTTCCGTCACAATCTAGCATCGATGCTAACTACCACGTAAACATATCTAGTTGATACAAACCTCGCGGAGGTTCTTCTTGAGCGCGGCGAGGAACGCGACGCGGCGAGGGTCCTCGGTCTTGTCCGAGTGAATGGCGCCCATGTAGCCGAGGTAGTCACGCGGCAGCGACTTGCGCAACTCGAGGTTTTGGGCAATCACGTTGGTCACGGCCTTTGTGTCAAGTCGATAGGTTGATACAAATCGGACCCGCTCAAACGCAAAAATACCTGCGGCATGAGCGTCTCGAGGAGGTTGCCATAGCAATTTTGCTGGCCCGTCGAGACCGTCACGTGCAGCGAGTCGACCTAGAATTTCATGGCATCCATTCCATCCAACCGCGAAAATCTCAAAAATAAAAGCCTACATCGTCGGGGCTCTGTGCCTGGTGGATAAAGCCGCGGGGAAAGTAAATCAAGTCGCCTTGCTCGACGAGCACGTCGACGATCGGCGTCCCGATCTCGTCCTGCTTGAAGTTGCGGCTCGATGTGCGCGGAAGCGTCTCTTCGTCGCTCAACGGCGCGTACACCTGCCACTGCTTCTTGCCTTCGACCTGAAGCAAGAAGGCTTCAATGTCATCGTAATGCGGTGCGAAGCCCTAGACACGATCTAAGACGCTGTTTCTTATGGGACGAAGCGGCTGTACCTGGGTGCCCTTGGGCGTGAGGTACGTGTTGGAGCCGGCCATGCAGCCCCACTCCTCCTCGAGGATCGAGAGCATCTTCCAGACAGGGTCGGAGAATTTCTGCGGGCACAAAAGGCGCACCGAGCACCCTTGCTCAAAGTGCTTCCAGACCGTCGCCGGGTTGGCCGCGCCGTCCGGGTTGAGCGTCGTGCGCACATCGTTTTGGTACCGCGTCAGGTCAATGTCCTCGCCATACTCGAGCGTGTGCTCACGCAGCATGCGGTCGATCTCGTCGCGGCTAAACCACCCGTCGTAGTAGGACTCGAAGTGGCGCTTGATCACGAGCGGCTTGCGCTCCCAGTAGTTGGCGTAAAAGTCCTATACGACGCGGATGAGCCTTCTATGACAAGACGAGAATATCGACCTCGAGCGTCACGGGGTAAATGAGCCATTGGAAGAAGAGCTTGGCCTTGGTCGAGCTGTGGAGGCCCGTGTCCATCGCGAGCTCATGCGCGTCCGTGACGTCATCGGCCTCGATTGCTATAAGATGCGTGGTGAGAGAATGACGCAGAGAGCGTCGACGTACGGGCGTCGATCACGAGCGGGTGCTTCTCTTCGACCTTGCGGCGCTTGGACGACGACGGCGCAGACATGACCGAGTAGGATTGGTTGTGGTCGACTGAGTGCAGCGATTGGTTCGAAAATGCCACCACCAGCGAATCAAACGCAAGGCGATGAAAATACGCCAAGGCCATTGGCGGATTTTCAACAAATGGCATCGGCGCAACGCCACGCAGCCGATTCAACCGAGTGGCTCGTGCTCGAAAGCTCCAAGGGTCCATGAAAGGTTTATGCACACTTGAAAGCACCAACTACGCCAAAGCCGTAGCCTGCCTTGCTGGACGATGCATCATGCTCGACAAGGATACACCGCGTGGCTGCGCAGATAGGAAATCCAATAGAGCCCGGTTCACTTTTCCTATTTCTACTGTTTCAACGCCAGCGTTCCGCTGACGGTCTTGAGCAGGTTTTTGCACACTGGCCATCATCTAACGTTACGGCATGGCTGGTGTGCAAGACGATGTTCCATGTCTGCAAGGTGTTGGAGTGTACAAGTTGTCGTCATGGAATAAAATGTTTTTCATTTTTCTTCAATATATATACGACACGGTTTCAATGCACAGACACAATGGTTGTTGCTCTCATCTAAAGAAAGCAGTTTACGCTTCGTCGCGCTTGGGCGTCTCAATATCGACAGTCTTCTGGGCGCGGACCGACCCGTTGGAGAAGAGCAGCTCAATGTCTTCGAGGAGGAGACCCTTGGTTTCCGGGCACTTGAACCAGACGTAGACACCGGCAAGTGCGCAGAGCGCCGTGAAGAGGAAGAAGACGCCGTTGATGTTGAGATACGGGAAGAGCTTGGGGATACCAATCATGAGCGAGCCCATGCACCAGTTGGTCATCGTCGACGCCGAGACGGCCTTGGCACGGACGTTCATGGGGAAGATCTCGGCCGGGTAGATCCAGCACACGGGGCCCCAAGAAATGGCAAAGTTGAAGATGAAGAAGGCCGTAAAGACAATCATGGTCCAGCCCGCGCCCGTCGAGCAATCCGACTTGCTCGTGTCGCCCTTGCAGCCCGCCGTGAACGAGACGGCAGAGACCAAGTGACCAATGACCATGCCAGCAGCACCGACGAGGAGGAGCTTGCGGCGACCGATCTTGTCGACCCAGTACATGGCCGGAATTGTCGAGAGGAAGTTGACGATCTGGAAAATGAGAAGCGACACGATACCGTCACCGACGACGTCCTTGAAGATCTGACCGCCGTACGTAAAGATGGGGTTGATACCAGTGGCCTGCTGGAGGAGCTGGAGCGAGCAAGCAATGAAAAGGCGCGGGCGAATCGACGGGTGCCACAAGTCAGCCCACGTCGACGTGTTGTCGCCTTCCTCCTCAATCGCGTCACCAATGGCCTGGAGCTCGGCGCCGACGTTCTCAGTACGACGCAGACGCTTGAGAGCCACCTCGGCTTGTTCGCGGCCCTTGGCCTTGTACGTCCAGCGGGCGACTCGGGCACGCAAAAGATACCAGCCATGACAACGACGGGAAGGCCATCGCGACGGCGTTGGTGACGCGCCAGCCGTGCTCATCGTACTGGACGACATAGTTGATGATACCGGCGAGGAGGAGACCGGTGACGATCGACATTTGCATGAAGCCCGAGAGCATACCACGGAGCTCCTTGGGAGCCATCTCGGCACCAAAGATGGGCAGCGAGAACGACGAGTTGCCGACGCCAAAGCCTTGGATGATACGGGCGATCAAGGAGAGCGTGTGCCCCATCTTGTTGGTGAGGACGAGCATGAGCGTGCCGGCGCAGAAGAGGATACCGGCCGAGAAGATGGTGGCGCGGCGGCCGTACTTGTCGGCGATGTAGCCGCCGAGGTAGGCGCCAAAGATGCAGCCCATGTAGTAGAGCACGTTGAAGAGCGTCGTAAAGGTCGACCAGTTGTCGGGGAGGTCGGCCGAAGCAGCCGTGCACTGCTTGTACGTGTTGCCGTCGTAGCCGACGCAAAAGTCGTTGAGGAACGAGTCCATGACGAGGACGCCGCCGGTGACGCCTTGGTCATAGCCGAAGAAGATACCGCCGAGGGAGGCAAAGACGCAGACAACGATGGCGTAGGCGCGCGAGCCTTCGGTCGGCGCGTCGTGGGCACCGCCGCTCGGGAGCATCGCAATACCGCCAGCCATGGTTGTGGTCGACGAGGTAAAAGGCAAAGTGAGCAAAGTGAGCTGGAGCGCTGCGGTGAAGAGCCCATCACCAAGTTGAAACGCGTGGTGAGCCGCCAAAGGCGCGACATGTAATTAGCAATCGGTGCACCGTCTGGACCAAGCAAAGGCGTGGGCAGTGGGATGTTGAAGTGGGGCATTGAACTTGGCATGGGTTTGTCCCATGCGAGTGATAGGGATTTAATCAACGTTTGACTATCCAGTACTGAATTACAGTGGAATTACACGGAGTATTACACCACGTCTGGGAAGGCAAGTGCAACGCGGCTGGTTCGTGACGCATCGATCGCGATACGTTCAGCGCCAAAGTGGTTTTTCTACCGAGCTCTGCGATGGTCATGTCAACCGAATGGTTGGTCTTGGGATGCTCCTCCTCTCACGCCCCTCGACCCTACAGCGCGTCCTCATAACCAGCCTCGCACTGTAGAGCATGGCTGGGATGTATGGTGTTCTTCTTCCTCTTCTTGTATCAAGTGGTCGGAAGCCACCCGAGTTCGATGGATTCCCCATCAGAAGTAGCCATGTTTCCAGCGCAGGATTGTTTTCGTGCCGATCCTCCGCCACCTTGTTTTTGTGTCTCGTCGGCTGATTCCAGAAGGCACCTAGGGGCGCCTTCCACGAAGCTCTCGGTGCGCCCTCCTCTCTTCCTGGCGATGGCACGCCAAGGCAGTTAAAAGATACCGGTAGAAGAAAAATATATTTAATCCGCGACCAGAGCGAACGGCAAAGCTAACTTCAACGTTGAAGCCAAACCCGTGACCTATGGGTGTCGTCGATTGCGTTGGGTGCCGCCACCCATAGGTGACTCGCGGCAGTTCCTACGGCCACCTCGTGTCTCCTCGTGTCAGCTCCGCGTCGTGTCGACCATGTACTTAGTACGTACTGGTACAGTTTACTGTGCGTGGCTCTTGAAACGACGACCTTGCTACGGAGTGTAATATCTCCGTCACGCTGCTTCTTCCGTGTATCTTTCGCGTAGGTCCACAAAAGGTGCACCAGGACGACCGTGCAAGAAAGGACGTGCTGCAAGGAGCTTTCAAGGTGCGATGTTGAAGTGCTGCCGTTGGATGCGCTGTTGACTGCATTACAGTAGTACGATTGGCGCAACGACGTCCAGAATGATTCTACCGTAGCATCATCCATGTCCGCACGCTGGTGCCAACGTCCTCTTCGTGTTTCTCTGGGCCAGCGCGATCTTTAAGGAGACTAAACCGTCCGCGCTCAACGCGACTCACTCGCGGACTCGCGTCGGCCTCGTCACCGATGCATGTGGCATCTTCTGCCTGCAGTATATCCTCTTGGAGCGGTGCACAAGAGAGGAGCGCGCTGCCTTGAAAGACATTGTCGTCGAAAGGGTAAAGAGATGCCTGGAATTTATTAGTTGTTGGGCTTATAGAGTTGTAGCATTATTGTCCTCGCCATTCCAGTTCTTGTGTGTACATATCCTGTGGTGCAGTTAAGGCGCAACTTAGATTGAGTGCTGGGGAGGCGTCACAACGTCGTCGACCGTCTTGCCGTTCTTGACACCGAACAAGTACTCGATGTCTTCGAGGAGGAGACCCTTGGTTTCCGGGCACTTGAACCAGACGTAGACACCGGCAAGTGCGCAGAGCGCCGTGAAGAGGAAGAAGACGCCGTTGATGTTGAGGTACGGGAAGAGCTTGGGAATACCAATCATGAGCGAGCCCATGCACCAGTTGGTCATCGTCGACGCCGAGACGGCCTTGGCACGGACGTTCATGGGGAAGATCTCGGCCGGGTAGATCCAGCAGATCGGACCCCACGAGATGGCAAAGTTGAAGATGAAAAAGGCCGTGGCAGCAATCATGGTCCAGCCCGCACCCGTCGAGCAGCCAGAGTCATCGGTATCACCGTCGCAGCCCGCCGAGAACGCAATGGCAGAGACCAAGTGCCCGATGACCATGCCGGCACCACCGAGGAGGAGGAGCTTGCGGCGACCGATCTTGTCGACCCAGTACATGGCGGGAATCGTCGACACAAAATTGACGATCTGAAGGATCAAGAGCGACGTGAGGCCGTCACCGACGACATCCTTGAAGATTTGACCACCGTACACAAAGACGGGGTTGATACCAGTGGCCTGCTGGAGGAGCTGAAGGAGCATCGCAATGATGAGGCGCGGGCGGATCGACGGGTGCCAGAGGTCGGCCCACGTGGCCGAGTCGTGGCCTTCCTCTTCGAGGGCGTCACCGATGGCCTGAAGCTCGGCGCCGACGTTCTCAGTACGACGGAGACGCTTGAGCTCCGTCTCGGCCACCTCACGGCCCTTGGCCTTGTACAGCCAGCGAGGCGACTCGGGCACGCAAAAGATACCAGCCATGACGATGACGGGGAAGGCCATCGCGACGGCGTTGGTCGTGCGCCAGCCCTTCTCCTGCTTCTCGACGACGATGTTGATGATACCGGCGAGGAGGATACCGGTGACGATCGACATTTGCATGAAGCCCGAGAGCATACCACGGAGCTCCTTGGGGGCCATCTCGGCACCAAAGATGGGCAGCGAGAAGGACGAGTTGCCGACACCCATGCCCTGAATGATGCGTGCGATCAAGGCAAGCGTGTGGCCCATCTTGTTGGTGAGGACGAGCATGAGCGTGCCGACGCAGAAGAGGACACCGGCCGAGAAGATGGTGGCGCGCCGGCCAAACTTGTCGGCAACGACACCGCCAACGTACGCGCCGGCGATGCAACCCAGGTAGTAGAGCACGTTGAAGAGCGTCGTAAAGTTGAGCCAATTGTCCGGGAGAAACGACGAGTTGGCCTTGCACGCGGTCTCCGTGTTGCCGTCGTAGCCGATGCAAAAGTCGTTCAGGAACGAGTCCATGACGAGGACGCCGCCGGTGACGCCTTGGTCATAGCCGAAGAAGATACCGCCGAGGGACGCGAAGACGCACACGACGATCGCGTAGACCTTGGAGCCCTCGGTCTGGACGCTATTGTCGTTGGCACCCATGGGAATCGCAACTGCACCCGCCATAGTAGTACTGGGCGCAAGACCGCAAAACGAAAAGTGAGAAGGAGCGGGCAGCTACAGCCTCGAAAACCAAACCACCGTCTACGCTTGATGTGATCAATCTTTGGCGCGCAACGTGTAATTTAATTCGTTTTTCATGCGCCAGCTGGGCACGTTGAAGTGGCTTGGACGCGCCACCTGGTCGAGCGACGGTGCGACTCACGCACCAGCCGCTACGGGCGCCAGAGGCCAGCTGACAGGATTTTCGCCACTGAATATTTTCTTATACTTGGGATTTGTATCGAAAGGCGAAGAATCCATTACTCGATTCATACCCGACCAGCTTTTCTGAAGCAGACCCAGGTATGCAGCCAGCTTGTCCCAGCCACCCATTCGAAGTCCGGTGTGCCTTTTTCGTGACCAACACGACCCGTCTACTTCGCGATCGTCTCGCGATTTGTATAGCAGCCAGGTACCTTGGCTCCTTCAAGCTGCAATTCAAGCACAGCTTCAAGGGCGGCATGTTTAGCAAACGCGGCTTTCTCGGTCGTGCCGTTTTTGTAGCGTCAACGCTGGGTATTGGCTCGAGCCCAATGCGCGCGCCGCGGCCGCGACGGGAGGCTGCATGATACGACGACTTGTTACCACGCAGGTCGCGTCGAAAGGGGCAGCCGCGGTCGCGCACGGATCAGAGAATAAGAACTGTGGCCGTCGCACCCAAGAAGCGGCCGCCAAATGATGGCGTCCTTCGGGAAGTTGAAGTCGCAACTTCAACATGGAGTCGGCTCGACGTGGCGCTCCTGCGCACCACTCGATTCCCCTCCTTCGTGGTGCTAAAAAATCCGGCCACCACCGGATTTCAGCGGCCCTTTGCACCATTCACGTAGGAGGCTCGGAAACCCCACAGCCGATCGACTGTAGTTTTACCAAAGATACGCAATGGGGTCGGCCGACACCTCGACCGACATAGACGCGGTCGTTGCACTGTTCGCAAGCGACGTGGTCGAGTCGTCCGGAACAAGAGCAACACTACTAGTAAGGGCTACTACGTACGAGAGGGTGCATAGCAGCACGGCAGTAGGAGCAAGCACGAGACATCAGAACAGTAGAACACTCCTTCATACCACTGCTGGGCCACCACCGGTCTCAGGACGCATCGTATGATCAGGATGGTTTTTGCACTACTTGAGGAGGGCTTGGGTCGCATACGCGCGAAAATGCGCGCTTGGCGACGAGAGAATCGCATCGAAGCGCGCGAACTTGGCACTCAGGTCGTCGCCGTCCTTGCTGCGAACGCTTCGAACGCCTTTGATCGCGGATCCCACGGGGATGGCCATCTCCTTGATGTCGCTGCCGAGGCGGCAGTCGTTGATGTACTCCTGGAGGAGCGCGGCCACGTCTGCCGGGAGCTGGCTGGCCTGGTTCGTGGCTTTTTTTTCGATTTGAGAAAGAGCGCGACAAACTGAATCGCAGACGCGCGCACCGAGACGCCGGGGAACTTGACACGCTCGTGCCCAAGCGCCACGAGCGCCTCTTCGGTGATATGGCTGAGGGCCTGCTCGAGCTTGCCCGGCATCGTCACATGGAGGTGCCGGGCGGTCTCGTCGATAATGGGCGGTAGCTTTGTCGGCAGCGACAGCGCCGTATACACCAGAGGCGCGCGCAGAAATCGGCTCTTCGCCGCCACACTCGTGAAGGCATAGACCGTGCCATCGAACGCCGCCAAGATGAACTTGGAGCCTTTCCGGAGCGACGACCAGTCGGCGGGCCCGTTCCCGTCTGCATAGGTGACCGCACAGTAGCCTTGAAAGCCGAGACGGGGCGGTGCGCCCGTCGTGAGGTTGCTCCCCATGGCCATATCGATGGGCAGTTTGGCTTGCTGGAGGAGCACGCGGCTCTCAAGGTACTTGGCGGGCTGCAAGAGAAAGGCGTCGAGCGCCGCCGCGTCCGCGAGCCAGTAGTTGACGTGTTCAAACTCGGCCAAGAATCGGCGGTCGACTTGGAGACTCGAGTACCGTTCGTGAGCAACCGTGAGCGTCACGGGGCAAAGCCCTCCGAGGCGCAGATGCGTATGTGAGTCCAGGTACACTTGCGAGAAGCGGACGTGCTCGAGCGGCGCCGCGCCACCTGACGCCACGGCTTGCATGTATCTACACGAGCATCGCCACTTAAAACAAACACCGAAGCGATGTTTCTACCCATTGGTCGCGCCGACGACCCGCGCAAGCAGCTCGGATGCATCGGCGAGGACGTGCCAGACACTGCGGCCGTTCGTGTTGAGCACTTTGAGATACCCGACGCCATACGTCGTGGCATACAGCACAAGCAAGCGCAAACGGTGAAGCTGCCACTGTGCCATGGCCTTGAGAAACTTGACGTGCGACGGAGGCGGCGATCGGCGCAGGATGCTCGTCACAGACGCGTCAAGGACCAAGATGCTCATCGGCATCGATGGCTCAGTGCGCTGGAGGCCTTCCCAGAGTGTCGCTTGCCGAAGCGTACTCGGAAAGCCGTCGAGCACGTAGCCGGACTGCTGGATGTCAAAGGCCTGGATACGCAAGAGGACGCATTGCAGCAAAAGGTTGTCGGGCACGAGATCCACGTCAATGACCAAGCACGGCGTCCGTGCTGCAATGAACTCGGAGACGGCCACGTAGAGCTCGGTCTCGTTTTGGCAACGGACCACCCATTGGAGGATATTGTCCAGACTCAGGTAGACCCATTGGTGCATGCGAGCGAGTGCTTTGGCCAAGCTCGTCTTGCCGCTATGCGCGGGCCAAGCACGGCCACCGATCCAACGGCAGCACTCGGCTTCGTGCGACGCCGTACGTACGCACTGGGTGTCGCTACAAAGGCGGCTACAGCATCGCGATTGGGCACGTAGACGCGACGGCGGTAGAGCACCGCCTCGGGGGCGTGCCGCGTTGGAATCGGATGGTCGCTCACGGGACAGTACGGTCCGTGGTGCCCTAATGCAATGTACCCCGCCGCCAGCAGCGGTCCAAGGCGCGTGAGAGGCAGTCGCTCGGGGGCACAAAAAAGCTGGTGGCGGCGCGTGAGCACGTGGTCCTCTAAGCGACGCAAGGCCTCTTTGAGGACGCGAAGGGGGCCCCGGGTAGCGTCAATCGGCGATGCCACCTCGACACCGACCTCTTGAAAGAACGCAAGGCCCGCGGCGTAGAGTTCGAGCTCCGCGGCCACATCACTCGAAATCGCTTGCGACGCCTCGTCGCGGGCCGCTGCTTCTTCGGCGGCCAAGCGTTCTTTCTTCAGTTCGTGGTCCTCCGGCTCGGCACCGTCGTCGTCGGCTGACTCTGCAGGCGGCGGCGTGTACACCCACTGGCGCATGCGCCGGGCCACGATCGCCGCCTCGTCGATCGCAAGAGGCACCACGAGCAGCGGCAGCCAACGCTTCTCCGCGCAGAGTGTCAAAAGCTCGCGACTGGGAAGCCGGTTCGGGCCCAGCCCTGGCGCGAGGCAGATACTCGACCCGGTCGTTGCATGGCGCGACAACTCTTGCTGGAGCGCTACAACGTACAATTGCGCCATGCTCGTTTCGTCCAGCGTCTCGCCGTCGCCCAAGGCATGCTGCTGCAGTCGAATGGTCTTGGCGGTTGCCGTGGCGACACCGGCCAAGTCCAAAACGCTTGTCGGCTCGTCGGCAAGGGCCTCGACGAGGTGCGCGGCCTAGCATACCCATAGAACCCTGTAGTGTAGAGCGAATATAGGAGCATACGAGCGTCGCGCGGCCCGAGCCCGTGATGCCATGCAGCCACACCATAGGTCGAAACTCCGTTCTATGCGCTGTCGGCAGGTACCGGCGCGGGTTCCGATCAAACATGGTCTTTTCCTTGGGGCCCGCCATTGCGTACTTGGCCTGGTCGACGTAGCTCACGTACTCGGCCTTGCCGGGCACGACGCGATGCAAACTGGCTCTGTTCCAGTAGGTCACGGGACAGAAGCGGCCCGTGGCGCCCCACGGTTTGCTGCTTTCGTCCTGCTTGGTGCAGCCGTCGTCGGGCCCGTCCACGCGGTTCCGATCGAGCGGGTGGAGTGCGCGAACAATCGCAGCCACGTTCTCGTCGGCAGTGGCAGTGGGGTCCATCGCCACCGTGGCCACCGGGATCGTATTGTCCAGTTGTAAAAGGACCTTTTGGAGCCTCTCGCTGTAGCCGGTCTCGGCCGCGTTGGGCGTCTTGGGCGGGTCGAGCACCAGCACGAGGTCCAGCGACGCATTGGTCGACTCGATCGCACGCACCGTCGCTTCGTCGAGCGGTAAATCATGCAGAATGTACCCACTCCGCGAGAACGTCTCGTCCAGCACGAGCTGCGTTGCCATGGCGTGGGACATGCTCAGGCCTTCCCGCAGCACGACCGTGTGCAGCGAGTTGAGCGACGGCGACCGGAGCACCGAGAGCGGATCCAACGTCTCAACATGCAGCATCTGCGCGAAGGCAGCAAGCACGGCCATGTACATGGGATGGTCCGTACGCCACGACGGCGTCGACGTGAGTACCCAGAGCTTGGTCGGCAGCGGCGTGCTTGGGTACGACGGCACTCCATTGCTGCCGACCAAGTGCCGCAACACCGAGTGCGGGTGGCGAAGAAAAGCCGTTTGTGCTTCTTTGGACGCCATCACATACAGCTAGACATCCCATTTGTTTGAATTGCTTTGTTGGTCAATAAAGTGACGTACCCGGCCAGCGAAGAAGGCGTGGAATTCAGGCACACCAGGGACCACTTCGCCCGACCGATATAGCACGGGACAGAAAGACCGGTACACGGAGAGCGTCCGGGGCTCGTTCGGTGGCAGCCGCGCTTGGTCGTCGATTCGCACGGGCAGCTCGCCGTACAGAAGCCACCGGAGCTGTTCGTCTCGGGGCTGACTGAGAACGTGTGGCGGCATCACGACACGGACGGCCGAGAGCGACGGCGGGAGGCGCGACAGCGGGGGGTGCGCCTACGCTCGCCTGCATGAGTCGACAGGAGACGACGTCAGAACAACCCCCGAAATCGCATGCACGGCGTGCTGCAAGACACCATTGGGCGACTGGTGGAAGACCACATTGACGATCGTGAGCTGCGTCTTGATGAGCTGCGTAGTCATGCTCACACCCGTGTCGAAGTCTTGCATGCCTTTTGAGAGGTGCTTTTCATAGATGGACGCCACGCTCAAGCATCGGTCACTCGACGGCATTGGCGCGTACTTGTCGAGCCGCGAGAGCTCGTAGGCTGGCACACGAAAAGGTGCACTCGGATCCGCCGGCGGCTCGTTGCGGACACCCTCCTCGTCGTCGTCGCGCGGTGACGCGTCGTCGTCAGCAACTGCGTCGTCGGTCGGAAGAGGTGCGATTGGCGGTGCCTCGACCGCGACAGCCGACGGCTCGGGCTCGACATACGTGTGGGCAAAGCCGTTCTCGTCACTCGCGGCGGTGCGGTCGCGGGCCGAGAAGATCGTGCGCGTCTTGGGGTCCATCACCAAATGAGCGACATGCGCCTCGACGTTGGCGAGTGTCCCGCGAAGACACAGCAGGTGCGTCACACTCATCTATACAGTTTGGTTCATGCCAACTATCAAGAAAGTATCAATCGTCGTCGTACGTCCATGGCATTGGCATCGCGGAGCGCAACAACTTCGTGCGGGTACACGTCGTCGAGCACATAGCCCTGGCATTCTGATTGTTGCATCAGCTCAAGTATCCACGTATCCACGTATTTCATGTGTACCTTGGAGATTGTGGCTGATGTAGTCGACCACGAGGTCGATCGCGTACTCGCGGCTCACAATCTGGCCACGGCGCAGCATGGTCTTGACCTTTTGCTTGAGCTGGAGGAGGTCGCTCTCGAATATTTCTTCGGCCGTTGGCTGCGGCTGCTGCAACACATGTTCGAGCGTCGTCGCCAAACCAATGTACTCGAGGTGGAGCTCGGCCGCGAGCGAGCGCGCCAAGCGGGTCTTGCCGACACCGGGCGGCCCCACGACGCAGATGCCCGGTCGTCGCTCCAAGAGCTGCGCAATGGACGCGAGCGCCGGGTCCCACGCATCGTCATGGCGGGCGTTGGTCAGGTAGTGCACACGGTACCGACTGCCTTCGTTCGAGCGCTCGACGGGCTTGAGCGGCTTTAAGCTCGCGCCGTTGGCTTTGAATTTGTGCGCAAAATCCGAAAACGCTCCTTCCGACATGGCCTTGGCCGACGCAACGATCTTTTGCGAGAACGCACCAAACACCTTGGCGTGGTTGGTGCATAGCAGCGCTTTGAACGAAAGCGACTTTGCCTCGGGCGCGATGGTCGTCGCGACCAGCCAGACGCCGTTGCGGTACGAATCCTCGAGCCCTGGCGTCAACGCCTTGCTGGTGAAGCGTGTCATGTCTAGTCGCACGCACATTTATGCATTCCACAGGATGGATGTGCATCGTACCGTCAAGCGGCGCGAGGACGCGCGGCAAACATCCGTCCAGCATCGGCTGGTCTTCGGGCAGCACGGCAGCCATGTCCGCCGCGTTGGGGCGTAGCACCATCGACTGCAGCGCGGTTAGCAAGTGTACATACTAGACGAAAAGAAAGTTGGCCAAGAATTCCGGGTCGAGAAGAGTACTACCTCGCGCGGGTCCACGTAGGGCACCCAGTGGTCGCAGACTTCAAAGAGCGCGTCCATAAACGTGCTGAAATGCATGTGTTCTTGGTTCAACGCGTCGTTGGCCCAGTCCCGCTACTTGCATAGAAGCGACGCGTCGGCAAGAGATCGTGGTCCGTACCGCCACGAGGTCGCGCGCCGTCTCGGGCGTCGCATTCGCGACCATGGCATACGCGATACGCTGCATCACATCCAGATAGGCCTCCTAGACACACAATTAGAATCGAAAAATGATATCAGAGTGGACTTGGTGGATAAAGCCGTGCACGTCTTTCGCCGCAACGTCCCAGAACGCGTGGAGCAGCGTCTGCACGGCCGGATCGGCTTTGACGCGGTCGCGGCATTGCATCGAGTACTCGGCGTAGATGGCATCGGAGCTCGGCTCGGCCTCTGGCCGCTTGGGCACGAAGAGCACCCGCGATGCCATGCTCGGTCCTTTCTGCCGCGCCGAAAAGCCGCCAGTTGTCCGTTGGGCATGGGCAAAACGGCGACCGTTCGTTGGATCGGTTCTGGACCAATCAGCGACGCGTTTGATCCACGTCGACATTTGATTGGTTGACATGTGCGCCCTTGCAGCAAGCACCACGACCTGGCCAACGCACGCGCCAACGCACACGTTTGAGACGCTTGCAATCACGACCTTGCTCACGGGCGGTGCAGCTGGGAGACCGCACGATCGAGGTGCCGTTCGCGGGAGAACCGAGGCGTCTCGTCGGCTGCGTTGTGCTCATCACGTCTGAGGCAACAACCGAAAGCGCAAGTCTCAGTATCATCACTAGCTTCCAGAGCATCCTTTCGGATCCGAATGCTACTCATAGTACAATTGTACGTGGTGAGGCCGTCAGGGTACATTCAATGGCTGATTCAATGGGGTCAGGTTTCATTCATTGGGGTACATTCAATGGGTACATGACTATTTCGTCAGATTTGCAATTGAATTTTCATTTTATTTTTTATTTTATTACTCCCTTTTTCTATTTTTATAATGACATCACTTTTATTGCTCTTTTGCACGTTGAGTATTTTATTATTATTGCTATTTGGTTATACTAGTTTTACTATTCGGAGATATCCGGATAACGCCAGGCCATGCCTGGAAGCTGCAGTGCTCGTAATACTGTCTCACTGGATTGTTCAGGTGCTAAACGACACAAGCAAAAGCGGGAAGAGCTCTCTTGGGGATCGCTGCCTGCCCGCTTCTTGCGTATTTTGTTCCCACGTGGACTCTTTGTCCA